CACGCGTGCGAACATGTTGGGACTCAACGCGGCTTTGAGCATTGCCCTCGCGTATGGTGGCCGTCATTTTTATGACGTAATTACGTGTCACCGTCATTGACCAATCAAAGTTGGCAGTTTCAGTAGCAAGTAGCCAAGGTGAGCGCAGTCGCCTCACCACGGAATCACACTCACACACGTGAACAGCGGTCACTTCGGCGGCTTTGAGCGTTGGCCTTTTTAATGGTGGCAGTCGTCGGTGTTACGAAGCAACTTCTTGTCGCCACCGGCATTGACCAATCAAAGTTGGCTGTTTCAGTAGCAAGTAGACAAGGTGTGCGCTGTCGCCTCACACGTGAACATCGGCTTCGAGCTTTTTAATCGCCTATGGTGGCCGTCAGTTATCTGAAGTAAGTGCGCCTCACCATCATTGACCAATCAAAGTTGGCCGTTTCAATTGGTAGCCAATCTGAGTGCAGTCGCATTCCGTAATCACACCCAGGTAAATTATCAAAACAAACCAAACGCAAACATTCCCAAATAGTGAAAAATGTACAGCATAATGCGTTTGCTTATTTGGTCAATTTTTAGTCGTGGTAACAGGCAAATACAGTGACGTGGATAATGTGCTTATCCCTTTGACAAGAGAACGAGAATTGGCCGTCGTTTTCATGGTCCCAGAGAACACGAGATGCCACCAGCATCGACTGTCCAATGTCTTCTGTCACTATGGCGTGGACCACGTACTTGAATCTGTTCAGGAGGCAGTAAAATTTAGATTAAAATATGAAAATACAAAACCTCAAGATGCCTCATTCACTGAAAATTTTACGCGGTTTCAGCCAATGTGCAAATGATTTTAAACGTCTACTTATATGTTTTCAGTAACATTACTTTTGACATATTTCATGTTGCCTTGAGTGTAGTGTCGGAGGTCACGTAGCCCACTCCTGGTTGGGGGGGGGGGATACTTTCTTTATACTATACAATCCTGCAACTTCCGAATTCAAGTGCCACCCACCTTGGGGGTCCGAGGCCTCGGACTGCGACGCGAACATCATTTGCGAGGTTTTTCGCTAGACTCCCGGGGTCGAACCGTCCAACGCGTTTGAACGCCCTGTCAACGAGGCCCTGAATAATCTCCTCCACGACTGGAAGCAGACTTTGCGGCTTGAATGGCTTCAATGGACCCAGCTGATACGTCGGCTCACGCTGCACGAGGGCATGGAGTGGGTCGTCCGCGCTAATTGCTTCAATCACATGGAGCAGGAGAGAGCAACGAGGTTTTAAGGCAAAACGATGCATCAAATGTTCCTCCTAGCTCAGGTTTCTAGAACAATAGGACTAGACAGGACTTTAAAACTTGGGATCCTTGTGTTATGGAAAAGTAGCTTTGTTGCATACGGGGATTTGTTCTTATATTTCTACCGCAATAACTGAGAATAAGATACCTACTTATAATTTGTCAGTAACATGCTTTTTAAAAGAGATTTTACATTGTTGTTGAGTATGGGGGTCATGAATTAGCAAACTTGGTGAATGTTAAAACGACTAAACTAACAAAGGCGACTGAACCGACGGAGGCTGAGCTTGCTGAAGAGGCCTTTGTGGGGGGCCAGGAACTTGCGGAGGGCCCTCTGCGCCACCAGAGCCCCGAAAAGGCTCAGCTGCTTCGGCGGTTGTTCATCCATCACCGGATCCGCCTGTGAATCTCCATCCCCTTGGCCTTTTTCCTGCCATCGCCTCTTCCCTACCACAAAGAAGAACAATGTGCGCATGCTGCCAGTCACTGTGATTGCTCTGCCATCTCAAAACTTATCCAGTAAGACTTGGATAACTACGGCAAACTGCGAAATCTCAACAGGAACACGTCTGAACCAATCACCGTCTACCACCACCACTCAATCCTCCAATAGCAGAAGGGCATTGGCTGTAGCGGATTAACAGCGATCGCGCCTGAGTGAACCCTGTTTACTAACCTGACGGTTACAATGACTCACCGCCTTTTCATTGGTTACTGCTATCAGACGCCTGTCATCTGCTGCTCACTCATCCACACACACTATTGGCAGGCGTGACGCGAATAAACGGTTGTGTCCTCTGTCGCCTCTTCTTATTCCATTCTCTGCTTGTTACGCGCTGGTAAATAGAGAGGTGTAAGGTAGTGCTTAGGCTCTAGCTACTACATGGCTATCTAAGATTTCGAATCGGGCTCGCATGAGTTAATGAGGCCTGAATATTTTAAGAAAAGTGTTACGTTCAAAGAGAGCTTTTCTAAGTAGAACCTGGCATAATCAATAGACGCGGACTGATTCACCTACAACTCTCTAGTTAACAGTCCTTAAAAACCCGGGAATAGAGCGGAACAAGAGGCGACAGAGGACACGACTGTTTGTTAGCGTCACGTGAGCCAAGTGCTGCTTTGTGTGAGGTGCACACGCGACCAAATAACAGTAACCAATGAAATCGCGGTGAGTCATTGAAACAATCAGATCGATCGCTGACACTCCACTATAAACCTTTCATCAATAATTTACCGGTGTTCTCCGGAGATCGTGACACCCTGAAAATTGACGCTGAAGGCGTGTTGGAGGCGGTTTTTACGCGAATTCTCATCTTATTTCAGCTGCCGTAGATGTGAAATTTAAAAAAAGTTTATATTTCACCTTCAGTAAAATCCCAACTGCAGCTAAATAAGAATTGACACACACGTTAGTTAGTGAGGCAGCCAAATTTTGCACGTTTAATTAGCGGTTCAAGATCAGGTTAGAAATTTTTGTGAACCTCTACCAATTCCTGTACGTCAAATTTCTGCAAATATAGCGCGATGCTCACTGCCCTTTGTAGTAAAACACGAATTAGAAAGTACCGCTAGTGGTCAACATTTGACCAATCAAAATGCAATCGGAGTTCGCGGTAAATACAAATTCAAAAGGCTATTAAGTGCATAAAGGGAATTAGTTTCGGAAGGAAGGTGTGAATGTGTATCGGGAAGCAGGTTCCCTGGTGAGTTAATTCCCACAGTACGCATTAAATGCCCACATCAAAGGAGAACTAAATGACACAATTTTGTCACACTGGTGGTCGGCGCTTGCAGCCAGCGGGTGGTTTTGACTCAAATTCACACCAAGAGAGCTGATCTAGCCAACTCCTGACTTCCGAGGTGTGGTAGAGGTCGCGTCGTCTGCTGTTAGAAGCCGATGCAAGCGGAGTGTGGTTGCAGGACTCGTTGAGGCCAGGGAATACACTCTGGCAGCTGCAATTTAAACTAGAAATCGGCTTCGTTTAACTGAGTCTGAGAGCAAGGCAGTGGGATGAAGCCGTCTTTTGCCCTCATTCGCCTACTTTTGTGGGAAAGCTCTAGTATGGGGTCAAAGTGGTGAATTACGGCAAACCATGAGACTGCTGACTGGGTTTTCGCGTGTGATTCCTTCCCTTCGCAGTTGTACGCGTGCAAAGAATGCGGACAGACGAAATCTCCCCATCCAACCAGATTACACAACCGCCACCACTTGGAAAAATGTGTAAAATCACTTGTTGAAGTCAACAGCACGCAAATGGCATTTGAGACAGCTGCAGATTTCATTGTAGGCATGTGAACTTGAAGGGTTCTTGTGCAATGTGGATCTTTTTGAAGAACCTTCCAGCGTCAGGAATTTTCAGCTTGACGGCAGAGGCCATCTTAAGTAGGGTAAGAACAGCCTAACAAGCTCGCTCGTCAGTGTTTACGACTGGCAAAGTCGTTAGACAGTCAGTGCACCAGCAAACCTGATCATTACCCAGGCTTGAGCATGTGTTGTGGAAGGCTTGGGGTAAACTGAGTGCGTCCTTACGTCGCCCGCCTTCACATAATTATCCAATTTTCACCTTTAGCAATGGCACAACAGGAATTCACAGAACCTGTCGTGCTGAATGTCTTCGTGACTATTGTAGATGCAGTCCGGCCGTGGACTGCTCCACAGTTTCCTAGCTGTTCCACGAATAGAGAAGTCAGAAGTTGATTCCATATTTACAAAGATTAAAAGAGAAGCGAGGGTAAAGATAAAGAATATTTCACGGGCCAAAACCTGTGCAGTTTTGTCCAAGGCCCGGCATTGGGAAACAACTCAACGGACAATTGCTGTTTGCTTGTCCAACAGGAATTATGCGCGCGTTTCATTTTATTGTCTCACAAGTGGGCCCTTAGACCAAGGCAATTATCGTTGCCAGCGGCTCGGAGCGTGAAATTTGCACTTTTGACATGAAATTGCACCACACTCAAGATGGTATTTGTTAAATTCGGCGTCGCGACTCATGTCCGAGGTTTCGACGCATAAGGGAAACCGTAGGTAATAGCAGTTACTACCTGCGCACTTTTGGGGCGTTTCAGAGCATCGCTGACGTCAAATCAGTCAACAACCTCAAATATAGCTGGTGCGGTTGAATGCTTCCGCCTGGCACGAGTGTTCATATCAGTTCAACCTCGAAGCCTAACGAGGCATCAACGAGGCTAATTGAATGCCTCCTCAAGACTATCTAACCGCCTTTGAGTGATTAGAGTCTCCATGGACTAACAATGATTGGCAGGCTTGAATGGGGTGTAGAAGGAGACCAAACGATACTTACGGTCCAAAGGGGATTAAGAAGAAGCGACCACTTCTTTTTGATAGGGTGCCCACAAAGAGTGGGAAAAAGTCAACACACAAGAGGCCCTTGAATCAACCCCTGCATTTCCGTCTTTGAGCGCTACGGGGCTTTTCCGGTTTGTGTAGATGAAAAGCTGGACGTGTTTGGAATTACCCATGTCAATTCAAGTTTAAAATGACGATTTTTGTGTTTTAATTGATCTAATTAGACATTCCCAGAACTCCCAGAATTCACAAAATGTGAGTTGATTTTGACTCTCCCAAGCTCCGTGGTAATTTTTCCCAGCTGTCCTCAAACAATTGAATAAAAGAAATCAATTATCCCTACTCTGAGTGGTTTAAATATCAATAGTGAACTCATTTACCGCAAATAAGTTAATACGAGTAGCATTGAATGGGATTCTATGTGGTACAGCGAGGATAACTTAGGAAGCAACCAATCCACCCAAGACTGTGAGGAGTGCGTGTTTGGAAGGACTCGTTCAAGTCGATGTGTAGGGAGTTCAAGC